AAAAAAAAAAAAAAAAATGCATATCCCGTAGGAGCCGGCGAATCGAGGCGCATCTGATAGGAGCTGCTTCAAAATATTGTGGCGGTTTATGAACTCTCTTATATACTACTTAAGGTGACGCTGGATTCTACATGTCCGACAATGTTTTTTTAGTTCCGATCACTGCCACTCGACCCATGCGTACGCCGCGTCGCGCGCCTCATAGAGCCATCAGACCACCACAGATGTGACCCAGCAGAGCCGCGGAAGGTCTAACGGGTTGCCGGGGCTCCGGCTCGAAGAGCAGGAGTAGGAACGGGGCGGTTATAGTCAGTCTGACTCGCTTAACCCAAGGCGAGAGAAGTTATTGAAAGAAGAAGAAAGAAAGAAAGAAAAATCGTTTATTTGCGTGTGCAAATAAACGTCACAAGGTACAATAACACAAAAAAAAAATATAAAACAATATAGCAAAGACGGCGCAAAAAGGCCAGAGCTCAGCTTATGCCGTGACACGAGTGTGCTCGAGTCGCGGCGCTGATTTTCAGCACTTGCCCGTGACTTATCTTTATTGGCTTATCTTCCCCACCAAAAAAAAGAAATATATACCTTAATCAGTCTGTGGTTGATAGCTGAGTGACCCCTCATGCCCAACCGTAAATGTATATTGTCGTAGGCGCGGTGCATGTCGGACATAATGTATACATTTGCAAACGTTACCACGGGGTCATAACCCTGTGTGAACGTTTGCCTCCACTATAGGATCCAGAGTCATACGTGGATCTCGCTGGACGCTTTGTCGGGGATCTCTACATGATTTTTTCTTGTAAGGCGGTTTATGCATCCATGGAGACCATGTCTGCCGCCTTAACAGCTGGCCCCTGTGGTACTTCCTGGTATAGAGATGTATTTCATGTAATTCTACAATGTCGTTGCTTGTAAGCACGCTAGGTGTACCTAGCACGTCTCTGTCGTGAGCTTCGGCCGCCTCGCGCTCCTCTCTTAGGTAAATTCGTCTGGATTGTTGGACACCGAGACGTCGGGGCTGGAACAAGCAGCCATGCTTTGGCTGCAGCCACCGCAGTCTCCTCATTTGGAATTGCGCAAGCGAAATTCCAAATATTAAAATTCCGTGCGAAAATTAATTGCAGCGAATCCATTGTAATAATAATAAAAAATTAAGAAATTAAATAAAATAACAAATTAAATCTAAAACTAAAATTAAAATCTACTACTAGGTTATACTACGTACTTATAAAAAAACATAACATAACATCACGCCTTTTATCCCGAAGGAGTAGGCAGAGGTGCACATTATGCCACTGTACAATGTAACACCCACTTTTCACTATTTATGTTACGAGTCCCATGTAATAGGGGGTGAGCCTATTGCCATATACCGGGCACAATTCCAGACTTCGTGCTACTACTGAGAATTTTTTTAAAACCCAGTAATACTTTGCCTGACCCGGGAATCGAACCCGAGACCCCTTGCTCGGCAGTCGCAGTTGCAAACACTCGGCTAACGAGGCAGTCACTTATAAAAAATATTAATAAAATGTAATGATGAAATATTAAAAACACTATTAATCTACTTAATCAAACTCTAAAAATAAATGTGTAATCGCATACGCAAACTGAAAGAGTGCAAAGTTCAGAAATGCGTCGCTTACATTGACTTGCCGAAGATGAAAACATCAAACATCACGCAGACATCCCGCGCGAGCGGGGCCACACGCACAAGCCGTGTCGAGAATTTTTCTATGTTTATATTAACTTTTGCTAAAAAGTTTCAATGGAAAGTCCAATTTTTTTTTTGTATTCTATACCTAAGTAAATGATTTTTTTATAATAAGGAAATATTGTGTCCTATATTTTAGTAATGTTTACTTTTCTAGGACTATTTCCCGCCAAGCTTTTGACGCTAGACAAAAAATGATAAGAAATAAGTGTTATTTGCACGCCCCTACACGATAGAAACCAAAAAAAGTGAAGTATACATACCATAAACCGATTCGCGGAGAACCTAACGGGTAACCGGGGCTCCGGCTCGACGTGCAGGAGAAGGAACGGGGTGGTTTTTAGTCAGTAAGAGTCTGACACTCCCTCTCGCCTCACCCAGGCGGGAGCAGTCATTCGATGATTTTCCACCCTTAAAAAAAAAAAGGCGAACCTGAAGTCCTGGAAGTTTCCAGATCACTTTCGCCTTATTTTTAGGTATACTAAGTAAGCGATGTAAATGAAAAACTAACCATTTATAGGAATTTTCACATTTGAAGTCCCAATCCCTTGCACACCCATTGCTACTTGCACACTATGACCTCGTTTTCTAATCCTACTACCTAATAACACGTACGTAAAGTATACAATATCCAACTTCATTACCTCCGGTACTACGTACGGTAATTTTGATAACAAAGCGCGCACTTTACAAATATTATTATGTACGTTGCCCCGTTCACTATTTTGTTCGGTAACGAAAATGTCTCGAAATATAATAATTTTATACCCGGGTCAAGGCACTCCAAACATCCCTCGAAGTCGTTGTTTGTAGGGCGTCGGTCAACGACGTGAGCGAAGTCTTCACTCCTTGCCCCCAGACGGCAGCCTCGCCCATCAACAGCATCGGTAACAAGTCGTGGCTGACGTTGGTGCAGTCGCGGTAGACTTCGATGGTCTCAATTAGCTCATCCGCGTGGCGTTCCTTAATGGTCCCTCCCGCCGTGCATTTCGCGAAGTTGCCTGCGCGCGGCACATGCATGTGTGCGTCGGCGACTTCATCGGCGGTTATCAACGGGTTTTGGTTTCCCGCCAAAACGCTCTCGATCAGAACTGTTTGCTACCACTTGACACCTGGTGTTGTTGGAAACAGGGGCGTTTAGCATATCCTCTGACATTGTAACATTCGGGGATGAAACCACGGTTCTGTTAATCTCGGCATCTGTGTCGTTATCCGATCCTTCCAGTTCTTCTCTTCGGCGGTATAATAACATGTAATTCGAACAGTCACTTGCTCGAAAAGCTCGGGTGATGATTTTGAGGATGGTACCTAGCGTCAACGAGTTGGTACGTAGGTATATACTAACTACGGACGCAACCGGCGGCGGTGGGACGCGGAAAATGGACTCGCACAAGTATTTTCACTTTCGTATTTGCACTGGTTTTACGATATTTTCGCGTAATTGCACTATCGAAGAGGGTTCATAGTATGTGTTTGCACGATAGGAACACTAGAACTCACATAACTTTGAGTTTTTATGCACAGTTCAGGTATAACGTCGTTTATTGGATTCTCAGGGCCCGGAATAATGTTCGACACACGATTGACTGTTAAAACTTGTTATATTGTTAAAATAGAAACTTATGTTACATATAGGTAGTTCACAAATTGTAAAGTATTCGCGGTAAAAATACGGGGGGGGCGCATGCGTCACGGCGACTCGTTGTGACAGTGTTACCAACACTGAAAAACATTAATCCTAAGGCTTTGGGCTTGTGTCAAAACCCCCTAAAATTGCATGACTTATTTTGTTGTCCCTTAAAATAAATAAATAATATAAATTCATAGTGATTAAGAAATAAGTATACTATTTGACGCAAAAATATTATGATGTCATATTATGTTGCGATCTCGAACAGAATTCATAGAAAAGTATTGTTTTTAACATGTCGATAAAAGTATTGTTTGACTAGTTGGAAATTACCGGATTACGTACTAGATGTCGTTAAGTTCAGTCATTAGGTCAAGAAACAAAAAAATACATAATATTATCTATCAACTCAAAAATGTTGAAGTCAAAAAATCCCTGAAACTACACCTAAAAATTTCAGAACCATAAAAAATCCTATCTCACTTATTAAACTCATTGGGAACCGTCTTGTGACGTTACGCTCCTACGGAAGCGTCGACTACAGTATTGCCAACTCCAAAAAACTAAAAAACAACAACTCACATAAAATAAAAACAATAGAAAACAGTAGGTAAATAAAAAATGTAATTTCATATTTTAAGTTTCATAATTATATAATTAGGTAAGTAATTATTTTTTTTTTAAGTTACGAGAATTTACTTTTTATTCTTTTGTGACGCGAGCGAAGCCGCGGGTAAAAGCTAGTATTATAAATCGGAAAGTGAGTTTGTTTGCTTGTTCCGCCTTCACGACGTAACTACTAGACCGATTGCTTTGAAATTTTTCAGACGTAAAGTTAGAAGTCTGGATTAAATAATAGGGTACTTTTAATCCCGGAAAAATGATATTTCCTAGGAAAAACAAAAATATTGGTATAGATGGCGCTGTATGTACTGGTATAGATGGCGTTATATGTCATTTAAAACCAGTCAACGAATTACCTACTTATTGGAAAAATGTAAATAGCGCGATATAACTGAATTCCACGCGAGCGGAAAGCTATTTGTTTGTTTGCCTGTCTTAAACGGCATAATGGAGGTATTATTTAACGTCATTTTTCAACTGAAGGTAGTTGAACAGATGGATAGTCACATAGGCAACTTTTTATCCTTTTATGACGCGAGCAAAGCCGCGGGTAAAAGCTAGTTTATTATAAATAAGCCGGTAAATGAGCAGACGGATCACCTGATGCTTTTGGTGATTAGGAAAGGAATTTAAGGATTATTGGGTATTCAGGGATTGGGGAGATTGGGGCCTCCGGTAACCTCACTCACACGACGAAATATACATAATGCAAGCGTTGTTTCATGCCGGTATCTGCTCCGCTGTGGTATCACTCCGGTCGAGCCGGCCTATTCGTGCCGAAGCATTGCTCTCCCACACTTGATTAACTAGGCAGTTTAAACTTAGTATACCTAATATGTGCGTAATATAATGAGATACGCTATAAACAATAGGCTTTTGTATATTATTGTAATTACTAAACGGACAATTTAATTAACCTTTTAACCGCCACAAGCATACACCAGAACCTACTGCAAATTTACCATTAGGTACTGAAAATTTCTCGGCTCCTCAAAGAGCCATCAGATCACCATAGATGGGGCCCAATAGGGCTGATGTTATATTTAGCTGCGAAGGACTTAAAAACTTCTTAAGAACAATGGATGTCAAAAATTAATCTTAATCCACTGTTGATTTCTCAACTCGATAACCCTTTTACGGTGTGCGCATCGACCAACGAGGCCAGAGTATTGTATACGTTTGACAGAGACAAGGCAGCAGCTAACAGTGCTCTCCACTCTGATAAACCTAAAGATTGTATTAATCGTGAGGACAGGAGAAGGCTCCTATTTGACCTATTTGACCAATGGACTTTCACAGGTTGTAGATGACGATGATCCAACGAGATGTAGCCAAATTGTGAAAAGGTAACAATAGCATTTATTCGGCCGTATGCCATAGAATTTGCACACTAAAAGAAAAAAAATATATATTTGATTTGCCGACGTTTAACCAGTGTAATTTGAATTTTACAAGCTTGGCGTCGAAAGGATACATTATTTTTGCCATGGCGCTGCGTAAATAATTTAATTAGATATTTTATGCCATTGTGTAATGTTTTCAATAGATTTGATGCGTATATAAACCAGGTATAATTTCTAACCGTGGATATACTACTTTGATTTTAATCAAGATGATTTGTGTCAAAGTTTTCTTATTCTTCGCCTGTATATTGGTAGCGTACGCTGCGCAATGTACAACGGCAACCTATGGTACGTTCAAATCAAATTAATGAAATCGATTCACTTTATTACATCTCTGTAAAAAATCCTACCTTTTTATAATAACTATCGTGAGACATACTAAATTAAGTAAAATCGCAAGTCACTCACGTGAACCATAGAGGGGTTTTTCCTCATGAGCAGCGTGCGCGACGTCGAGCTTTTCTCAGTATATTCACGTGAGTAACCCGCGATTTTATTTAAGTTCCTATCTATCTTAAGTGGCGTAACTACAGGGTGGCAAGTCGACAAAATGCCACGGGCCTCAGCTGGAAGGGGCCATCATTAAAAGGTTTTCATATGAACTTGTCTATTTTTTATTGGGAACGGGGGCCATCCGACGTATTTGCCACGGGTCCCGTACGGTATAGTTACATATTGGCATCTACCTACAACAATCAAAGGACAGATACCTTTTTGTACAGTATCGTTACATTTCAATTGTAATCTAGACTGCTTTCATCACTCATATTCTTAATTTTAGATTCTTATTAATTTGTTTTTTCACCAGGTAAAATAACAAATAATAAACACTCGACGAAACAACTACATCTTGGTCCAGGTTTAGCCGATTGGACAATTACGGTAGACGTGAGTATCTATAACCAATGTCCGAAGCTAAATATTTGTTTGTTTGAACTACTGAACTGCTGGTCCTATTTGGATAATTCATTTTGTGTTGGATAGTCCATTTATCGAGGAAGGCATAATATGATAATATCATAACATCACGCTACGACCAATGGCAACCGAGCAGCGGATTTCGCATGGAAGTGAGAACTGCGTTTATTGGTACTTCAAGCCAATAACAGGAGTAGTTATAAGATCAAATCAGAAATGAGGAGATCCGCAAACGAATAGAAGTTCAGACTGTCCAAGGTACAGAAATCCTTTATGGGGTTATGTATTATATTATGCTATAATAAAATACCAAATAGCATACTAGAATTCAATTAAATTAAATTTAAAACATATTAAATTAAGCACGAATTATGTAATCAAGCTTACTGCAAACTGACAGATTATCTTGAAGATAAGAATGCTTGGCTGCATGTTGGTTCGGCTCCACTGGACAATACTCAAATGTAGTCAGGAGTTAGATTACAATAGTAGGTAATTTAATACTTAATACTTTCATTCTAATGTAAACAATCTAGTTTCCTTATGGCATCGAGCATTTCTTTCTTTGTTGAAACAAAGAGTTTCCTATTTCTTGTATAGAGGTAGAAGCACTATTTTTATAGATTGTCAGTATGCATATGTGTGCATCATGTCAGACTATAAGATTTTTTTTGTTTTTTCATTTTAGTAATTTTTGTAATTAGTATAATGCGTCAAGCGTGTCTTTGCATTGCTCTTACATATGCGTGCAGTATTGGAATATGTATCAGAGACATTGTAGAACATACCTTTTTAAAAAGAGTAACCAATGGAATTTCTTGTTCGTTCTTCTACATTCGAATCTACATTTTGGAATGAGCACCTTGCTTCACCTAGCTTCACTGACAGTCTGACTGACTGACAGACTATTATTTATTTTGTATTTGTTGACGTTTCAAAAGTACCAAATTATGGTTTAATTGAAATAAATGCTTTGACTTTGAAGTCTAAGACATCAGCATGTAGCTGTAGGGGCACATGTAAGAGAGCTCATGCTCATGCAAAGTGCAAGGCCAGCAAAAATGTATGAGAGCGTGAGGTATGAGGAACGGACAGTTACTACGCAGGCGCACTGGTCCGAGTGAACGGTTCTCTTGGGGCTTTACGCGTAATATATCCGGTATCCGAACCCCTAAGCTATCGACCAGCAGGAGCGTAACTCAAATTAGGGATTTAACCCAACACACGAATCCCTAAATAGCGATTTAGCGAGCAAGTGGACGACTACTGAATCGAAGACGGAGAACCATGATTAACCTTTCGGAGTTTCGGAACGAATAGGCAGGCCCGGCTCAGAAAACTGGCGTGAAACAACGCTTGCATTGTGTTTCGTCATGTGAGTGAGGTTACCAGAGGCCCGATTCCTCCCCTCCCCTATCCACAAATCTATAATCCTCAAACCCCTAACCCCCAAAATGCCGACTTAACTCTTTTTGTGTTGCGGATGTCCAGTCCATGGGCGGCGCCGATTACTTACCATCAGGCGACCCGTCCGTTCGTTCGCCATATAGTTATGTACCTGTTTACAACTTGTCAAAAAAAAACAATATACGTACGAATTGATAACCTTCGGAAGTCGGAAGTCCACGTTAACCGCCGCATAGGTCACCGATAACCTATGTTAGCGGAGGATTTGCCTTCAGCAGTTTTCTGTCGGCAGTCAAAGACTTAAGAAAATAGTTTGACGCGGTGACAGTTGGAACTAATATTGATTTGGACTAAATCACCCACTACGGACCATATCTCATGAATAAACAATCATCCGAACATAGTACCTCCTCTTTTTAAACTCGATAAATAACAAATATCAAAACCGGTTGAGTCGTAGTGTACCAGGGTTGCCACAGGTACGATACTAGCGACCTCAACTATTCCAAACTTTTTTTGTCAAGCTGTACATTCATGTAGTGTGTCACATAATTGCAGTTATCACATAAATACATAATACATACATAAATAACATCACGCCTTTTATCCCCGAAGGGATAGCCAGAGGTGCACACAGAAGTAACACACACTTTTCACTATTTATAATATGAGTCTCATGTAATAGGGGGTGAGCCTATTGCCGTATACCGGGCACATTTCCAAGTCTGAGATTTTTGAAAAAGCACTGTAATACTTTGCCCGACCCGGGAATCGAACCCGAGATCCCTTGCCCGGTAGTCGCACTTGCGACCACTCTGCCATCGAGGCCGGCAACTATTCCAAACTTTTTTTTGCCTAACTGTACATGTAATAATTGCAGTGTGTTATAAATATGGTTTTTATTTACAGCCAATGGACAAAGAAAAATGCCCCGATGGTATTGTTGGCTTGAAAGTAAAAGCCTGTGACACTGATGTACCTCCTACCATTGGAGAGTTCATAAGCGTATATGAATTCTCCATTCACCGTCATGGCGACCTGAAAGGACAGTGCGTCGTCGATATCAAGGTTTACTGTTAAAGGAATAATTTTAATTCAGATTAAAAATACTGTACCACGTGCTAATTTCAATCACGAAAGCTTGCTTCAATTGAGTACTTGCCACTTAGTAGCATGTGTGTCGGAATATTACTCAAAATTAGCTCGTGTCAGGCATGTTAGCGAATCGACGGGCGTTCGATTTTTGAAACTTTTGAGCATGCTCAACTCAATACTTCAATACAACAAATTAATTAACAAAAAAAAAAAATTAAGAACGCATTTTAGCATGATATTTTAGACCATGTGTAACAGTACCTTTAGTTTTCAGGATCTTCGATTTCAAGCTCGATAATATTTTGTTTCTGTTTTCTGTATTTGTTGTGGTTTGAATTTTTCAAAACTGTTAAATAATAAAGTTTTTTTTGTACAACAATGAATTAATTTTCATTTCCAAACTAACTGATGTCCAACTAACTGATAGAATCTATACTTCCAACAATAGCCTTACTGTTTACTTTGTATTAAAGATAAGAAACACACTTTCATGTTACACACCGTTACTACAATAAAAATACCTCTATATACCCATGTAGATCCCCAAGCGGTCACCGGTGACCGCTCTCCAATAACTACATTATAGATTTTATTTCCAATGTTTAGAGACTACTTTTGTGTGAACGAATTTAGGGGATGATTTAGAATTATAGAGGAACATGTCTGTAGATAATTAATTACATTTAATTTTCGAACGGAAATCAAAGTCATATTCAATAATAAATAATATGTCAATGTATGTATGGTCAATAACCAAAGACTAGAGTATGCTCAATAACCATAGACAAACAGGCAATGGTATAGAATAATTAGTGTTGCCACTCAATTATCTCGAAAAACAGCTGAGCCTGGCTGGTAGTCTCGACATACGTAGTATCTTTAGGTAGTCTGTGGTCTCGACAATGATATTACAAATATTTTTTTTTTTAATGGGCGAAAATCATCGAATTACTTCTCCCGCCTGGGTAAGGCGGGAGGGAGTGTCAGATTCTTAGTGACTAAAAACCACCCCGTTCCTTCTCCTGCACGTCGAGCCGAAGCCCCGGTTACCCGTTAGGTTCTCCGCGACTCCGAATCGGCATCGGCCCTATTGGGCCCCATCTGTGGTGGTCTAATGGCTCTTAGAGGCGCGCGCGGAACGCGCGGAACGCGACGCGCCGTATGCTCGGGTCTGTTTCTGGTCGGACGGGGAGCCACCCATGCTCGCCGTCAGCAGGCCCGCGATATTACAAGTATAGCACATACCGGTCGCTAAATGATCCCTATCATTTGCAGATCTATTAAAGAAATTCGTTATATTTACATAATGTACTTAATGTACGCGCAATATCAAATAAAATAATTTTTAACACTATAAAGGTTCAATCAAAATGAAAATCAACACATTTTTGTAAATATATATTTGGAAAATAAAAATAGATATTGAAGCGAAATAAGTTATAGAGTTCGACAATTCAAAGGTGAAATTTAAGTGAGTAACAAATCAAATTAGTACAAACATCAGCTGTTGATACCGAATCGTCGTTACAAAGTAAAATAATAAGATTGTCTTGGATAATTTTGACACTTTGGTCTAATTACAGTACACTGTTATTAAAACAGTACCAACATTTTGTAAATTACCAAGACGATGTACTAATAATGTGTTAAAGTCTACAAATGAACCGGTGGGTGCCACATCGTCATCGCAGATTATTGCTTTTACACCAGCCTCTCCATTCGTGCATTGAGGAACATGCTGAAACAATAAATTTTGAATAACACAGTGTGAATTTCACATGATTATTTTCAATGTTTTTAGAATCGGTATATACTGTCGGACATAATATTTTATTATTAAATAGCTGTTGCCCGCGACTTCGTCCGCGTTGAATATGAATTTCAAAAATAAATGTGGCATATGCTACTCCTTAGTACAGTTATTAGCTACCTGCCATAAAACACTGGCTACATATTTAATTGTATCCAATCAGTTGTTCGGTTAGCGTGTTATTGGATATAGCATCCGACCGATACCTGAGAGCTTAGTACAAGTTTACTTTACGTTTAAAGTAATCGAAACGAGACCGCGTTCGCTGGTTCCAACGAACCACCCAATCAGAGCACCCAAAACGGTCTCGTTTCGCACGCACACCGTGCCTCACTGCAAGGGTGCCAACTGAAAACCAGTGTTAGGTACTTACTGTGCCCAGCTCATAGTGAGTTGGCAAGTTCTTTTGTCATGGATATGTTGCCACTTTGTTGTTCCTTTTATTATTTTTGTTGTTTTTTATTGTTATTTTATGATTGCGTATTTGGTGCATCATGCAATTTTTTTTTTTTTCAATAACAAACTCGTACTAAGACCTCGAATGACCGACGTCTTACCACGGTGTCACAGAAAACTGGCGTAAAACTATGATTATAACGATGATAAGTAAAGCATATTATGAATATAGGTACGTACCGGAATATTAACTTTATAGTCAGCAATATTAGGTTGCAAATAAACTGGGTCCAAGTTATAATGAACCAAGCCTGTTATAATACCTGTATATGAAACAAACAAACTGTTTAATCAACTTCCTGGCTGGTTAATTCCCGAATGGGGCAAGGGTGTGAATCGACTGAATAATTTAACATAAAGTTACACTTTTAAAAATGGACATAATTATGAAAATAAGTACAATATCAAGCCTTTTAATCACCGAATAATATCAAGCCTTTTAATCACCGAAGGGTTTATTTTCATGGAATCATTTAGCAAAGGAATTTCACGTAAAAAATTATTCCCTTTTGACCTTCGAACTTGCGCAAAATTTGGAAAACGGAGCCTGGAGTGGCCTGTGTTTGATAAAAAGTAAGTTTAGTTCCTATGGGATTCGTAACAAAACTGGTAAACAATTGATGTGTGCACCTCCAACAAATCATTTTAAGGAATAAAAGGCGCAATGTCACTTATTATAATAAAATCTTCACCATTTTCTGATAAAATATGAAATACTCACCGCTCGACGCCACAACGCATTGTGGATCAGCGTTGATAGCGACCGCGCAGATTAGTACAACAAGCCCGACGTAGGAGATCATGGTGACAGATGACTGATGCTTGCACCAATAAAAATAGCCAATGCACCGCTTATATAGACCAGGAAATATGACTGAAGTATATTTTTTTTCATAATTAGTGAATAAAACGAATTTTCTTTAATTAACACGAATTAAGCGTTACTTATATTTTAATTAGTCGTTACGCATACACGCCTTTTGTTTCACAAAGTGGTAAGCAGGATGTGTTAATGGGGACACCGTAGCTAGCTTATTCTAAAGACCAAGTGCCCTTGTAATTGGAAACAATCACCACCAGGGCAGTTTGAGTGAAGTGCCCTCTAGTTTATAAAACATTTAACAAACGTTTAGGCGTCATTCTACGTACTTGACCACGATTAATTACCAATATATTACAAAGTTACGGTTAACACGTGTTCATAATAGAAAATTCGTTTTATTTACTAATTATGAAAATTTTATTACTTTAGTCATATTTCCTGGTCTATATAAGCGGTGCACTGGCTATTATTGTTGGTGCAAGCATCAGTCATCTGTCGCCATGATCTCTTACGTCGGTCTTGTTGTACTAGTCTGCGCGGTCGCTATCAACGCTGATCCCCACTGCAATATTGCAACAAAAGGTTTTTTTATTTTGTTTATAATAAAGTACTAATATACTACTGTTTATATTATATATAATGTACTAGCTGTTTCCCGTGACTTCGTCCGCATAGAATATGAGTTTAAGGACATAACTTTTTTGAGTTTCAATTTTCCAAAATAAAAATAGCCCATGTTACTCCTTAGTATATCAGCTCCCTGCCAGTAAAAGCCCCGTCAAAATCGGTTTCAGATATTTTAAAAGCCATTTCAGAGATTAGCCAGTCCAAACCGACAGACAAACTGACAAAAAAAATTTGGTGCAGTTATTGTATGTGTGTAGATCCATAATCTAGTAAAAAGCGGTTATTTAAATATCATAAACAGACACTCCAATTTTATATATCTGTATAGATAAAGCTGCAGCTTCTAGTTCAAATTGAATAAGTATTTTTGTCTTTTATATAGCATTTATCAAAGAAGGCTATAAAATATCACGCTACGTTCAATAGGAGCAGATCAGTGGTTAAAACTGCGCGGGAGTTATCATAAAAATAAATTATAAGCCCAGGTTTCTTCATGATGTTTTCCTTCACCATTGTGTGTCTAACTAAATAATCTTAGAAAGCACAAATAACTCGAAAAAAGTCATAGTCTCCTTGACATACACTACTATTTTTATTGGACTATATTCTATACACACACATCTTCGGTGATTAAAAGGCAATGATAGGAAATATTCATACGTGTGAATATTTTCGCGGCGATTTTACACCCATCTACTAACTTTATGTTAACTTACTCAGTGGTTTCACGTGCCTGTTCGATTCGGGAATAGATCAACTAAGAAAATGATTAACCAGTTTTTTGTTACATTTACAGGTGATATCATAGGTAGTGTCTTTTATAACTTGGATCCAGCTTACTTGCAGCCTGGTATTCGTGACTATAAAGTAGACATTCCGGTACGTACCACACAATAAGTTTTATGCAGGGTGTCCAGTAAATAGTGCACTATACTGTGAGGGCAGATAGTTGAAACCAAAATCTGTCTAAACAATCCTTTTTCTTGAAAATGTACGGTTTCAAAATTATACCACATTTTTGCAAATATCGAGGAATCACTATTTACTGTTCATATGTTTTACCCTTTATTGTCGATATCAGAACCGAAATCGTAGAAAAAGCATGTTTTTGTATAAACTAAATTAATTAAAAATTACGGATTACTTACGTGAATATATTGAGAAAAGCTCTACTAGTTTCTTCCTCATGAACAGCGTGCGCGGTCGCGGCGATGTCACGCACCCTACTGGAAATAACCATGATTTTTTTTTAAATAATCATGTGTATAATCTATTATATTTAAAATCCATTGTTTCAGCATATTCCTCAATGTATAAACGGAGAAGCTGGTGTAAAAGCAATAATCTGCGATGAAGATGTCGCACCCAATGGTTATTTTCCAGACTTTTACTCATTAATAGTTAATCGTCTTGGTAATATGCAAAATGTTGGTACTGTTTTAGTAACAGTGTACTGTAATTAGACCTTTGAAGTGTAATTATCAATGACAATCTCACTATTCTTCTATTTTACTATGCAAAGACGATTCGCAATCAACAGCTGATGTTTGTGCTAAATTGATTTGTTAATCACCTAAACACTATTAATAACTCCTACGAATCGTCGATTTCTTTAAAATATATTTTGTTTTAATATGTATTGTTATTTTTTTTGAAATATATATTTCTGTAACTGTATTTTCTTTTCGACTGTACCTTTTTAGTGTCATTATTTAAAAAAAACCCTTTATTTGATATGGTGTTTACGTGTATATTTGAAGTATAACGAATTTCTTTACACGATAAGATCTACTTCAATCTCTATCTTTGAAATCTGCCCAAAGAACATATAAATGCAATTTCAACTACCTATACCCAAGGTCCTGTAGTTTGACTTAATTAATATGCTTTATCCGTCTGTCTGTTTGTAACCATTGTCGAGACTGCCAAGGTTTTTTGAGACAATTAAAGTGGCAACATTCATGTCTGAAAAAACTTTTATTTGTTTATGATTTTTTGACAATCGGTTTTTAGTTGACTGGTTGTTTGTGCTTTTCCGTTCATCTTTGAAAATCGAGTTCGATTTTCACTTGTAGTTGACTGAAATTAAATTAGAAATAAAGTGTTTTTCATCTTCATACATTAACAAAAGTTGTATACAATGTCGGTTACATCAAGATCTAGTAGTATAAACTCGAATAAACGACGGATCGATGAGATTGACGATACGATTGAATACCTAACTAACGAAGTCAATAAATGTGATGATTTTGCCTTGAAATCAGATTTTGAATCTTCATTATTAGCTTTAAAATTAAGAAGAGAAAAAGTGAAGGCTCTTGCTGCGGCCGCAAGGACCCAAGTTTTGCTGGCCGACATGGAGGTTCTGATAGCTGAGAGCGACCTTCTTTCTGACGTAGAGCGATTAAAAAAATATAAGAAGAATAAATTGGATGGCGGGAAAGGTACGTTCTATGACATTTATTTGTTGTCGAATACTTTTACAGTTACGATTACAATTTGCGTAAACAATCTTTTTTAATTACTTTATTATATTTATCTCTTAGTGGCCTAGAATTAGAATCGAATTAGAATCTTATTAAATTTTACGATTATCGTCATTGTCAACAAGCAAACACACACCTTATTTATTTCACTTTATTGTTATTTTCGGTCTCTTTATGTTCATTGTAACCTTTAGATCCATTAGTTCTAATAAGTTAAAACCTAACTCAATTTGGTTATTACTCCTTCCCAGATGAACTCCAAGCAAACCAACATGAATCCATAAGAACTATGAAGTCAACCTCTGTTCAGACTTCAATGTATTACAGAACTGAGCGCAAGAAAAGAAAGCATAGTGAGTCTGGACACTCATCAAAGCATTCTGACTGGGAAGCAATACGGTCACAATCCATTCCCAAAAGCCCTTACACCAATCAAAACTCCCTTAGCACCTGTAAAGATAATCCTATGGAACCATTGGTGTCGACTCAGGCAAGCCAACAAGAAGCTTCCCAAAGTACTACAATGTCAACTTCTGTCCAAACTTCATTTGATGACGGAAATGAGCATCAACCCAAGAAAATGAAGTATAATGACCCTAGATGTTCTCCGACTCACTCTGACACTGAAACTATACAGTTGCAGTCTGTCTCTAGAAGCCCTAGTGCGGAAAAAATCCTTTGCGCCATCCTTAATGATTCAGGAGAGCCATTGGTGTCGACTCAAGCAAGCCAACAAGAATGTACTCAGATTCCAGAGTCTAACTCTAACAAAACTTCTAATGCTTACAGAAACGAATATGAGTATGAGTTCACAACATCAAAGCTTATTGATGCTATACATTCTCCGATGCACATTGACATTGATATGTTAGAGCAGTCTGTCTCCAAAAGCCCCATCACTGAAAAAGAGACCTATACCAGCCACAAAGATGGAACGGAACCATTGGAAAAAGGTTACAGAAGCGAACTAGAGCATGAGCACAAGAATAGAAAGCCTAGTGATCCTAGACGTACACCGAAACACTGGGACTGCGAACTGACGCACTGGGACATCGATACAATAGAGGTACAGTCAATCTCTAAAACTACTACCGCTGTGCGAAAATCTCATGCCAGCAGTGAAGACAGTCTAATAGAACCGTTGAAGGTGATTACTGGATATACCACTGATATAGACATATCACTATCCAGTCCTTTAAAAGCTGAATTCGCCAAACCATATGCAATCAAACAGTCTCAAGACATTCGTAAGTTACAAACAGAATCTTTAAACACATGTAAAGTCACTCCAGCCCCAGAACTTAAAGAAAAAAAGAAGAAGAAATCAAAGAACAAAAGGAAACAAGAAAATCCTGCTGCATCTACTAAACCTTCTGGGATAACAACGAAAACTGTTTCAGAGATCAATAGAAGAGCTTTTAGTCCGAAGCCTAATCCTTATAATGCATTAATTTCGTACCGTCCCCAGGACTTGCCACCTGCTACAAGCAAGAGTACACCTTCTACAAAAGCTCCTAGTAAACATATTCTGCCATTGATGATCCCACGACCGCCTCCATTAGGTCCGTGCCTCGGTATGGGCAACCCTGTACCGCAAACCAGTTCATTCCAGTCCACAACTCGTTTATGCCGGTCACCATACAACTTCTACAACAAGAAGAAATAAAAATAAGTTAAGGCATAAGGTTTCCCCTTTAATATTTGCAAGAGTTGTTTAAAACATTTGTTTATGTTTCAGATGTCTTTTAAAATCTCTTAGAGATGCAAAGTATAATATTATTTTATTGTAAGGACTGATTTAATGTAACTAAAGGACTGATCTATTCACCAACATATGTTGTATGTTGTTTGATTGATGATGTGAACAATTAAGGAATATAAATAATTTTAATGTCATATAATTATGTATTTTAAAACTTGCTTATTTCTAATAATTTTGAACAAATTAAATCATGTTGGAATAGTTTCAATAAGAATTCATGTAAAATGCAATCTACCTCTGCACCAAATTTCATCTAAATCTGTTAAGCTATTTAGGTGTAAAATTCCTAAATTTTATACAATATGTAAACTTACAGTTAGCTTAAAATAATTATTAAAAATACTATTATTGTGTTAGAAGCTGATACAAATGGATCTACAAGGTTCAATTGTCGACAATTGAAACAAATTTTAAATAATTTGCATAATTCTTGTAGAAACATTTGTTAATAGTTTTAGACACATAATACCGGTAATTTTTCTATTAGATAACACATTTCGAAACGCAAAATGACAATTTGTTAGTTTGAAATGTGTTTTCCGTATTTTATATTGAGAATATGCTTATAAACAATGTTCAGTTAATATTTTTTTAGAATTTTTACTCAATTTTTTTTAAGCTAATTGTGTATTTAATTGTAAAGGTGAACTAATTGGCGTACTGAATTGATTATTGGAAAGGCCGCCATCTATGTGTATCAAATTGAACTGAACAGTACGTTTTTTAAAGTCTTTGCAAAGAAAAGTATGACATTATTTTAAGTACAAAAAAACTATAACTTTACGTGACCAAAGAGTTACTTCTAGAATGTCCTATAGATAATAAGTATAAAAGCTAATAATAATTGTTGTGATAATGATAATTTTATTCCTAATTCTATTTTAATTACGATTTTATGTAGAACGTAAAAAGTATGACTTTTTTTATTTTCAATGAAAGTGTTTGCAAAAACATAATAATTATATGTATGGTGCATTTTTCAAGGATGTAGGTATTTGTATTATAACTTTCGTGATACATACTAAACAAATTATTATGTTTTCGACTTACTCATGTAATTATTTGTCGACGAACTCGACTCGACAGTAGTCGCCGCGTCGCGGGTCGCGAAATGCTGCTCATAAATATGAGCCTCTAGCATAGAAGCTAGTCGAGTTCCTCGACAAATAATTACGTGAGTAAGCCGAAAACATAATTTATGAAGTAGGTATTTCTAAAGTTCATTGTACAGCGTCTACCTACAGACTTACTTTAAGTACTTTATACATAGCTGTATTATACCTAAGGCAAACTAGACAAGTCTAAGTCGCCAGGATACAGAAGGGCGCCGTAAGACGCGGTGCCTAACTGCCCATAGAGTCACGGTGGCGCCAAAAAAAATAGGAACGCCCATCGGGTGCTTACTTTGTCCTGGATAACAAAAAACACTATCAGTATGACTGAAAATGCAAAATAATGCTGCCATAATTATTTTGATTGTGTTTTAATAATTTTTATATTTTTGTTGATTATTTGTTTTCTATTATTGTATGAACAATTTTAATAATTCTAATAATTTCACGCTTGCTCCTATAAGCTTATAGGAGATGTGGTTTAATAATACTTATATTATAATTTATAACTTTTGATGATGATGAATCTTTTACAAAAAGATTGTTGTACGTACCTACTGATTAAAAGATTTGTTTCATTTTATTCGTTGTTTTTTATTTTATTATCGTCAGTTGATATTACAGATGTGACTTTTCCGAAATGGCTGTCCGGCAAGGGGTCTCGGGTTCGATTCCCGGGTCGTGCAAAAGTATTAAAGGGTTTTTTAAAAAAACTCAGTAGTAGCACGGTGTCTGGTATTGTGTCCGGTATATGGCAATAGGCTCACCCCGTATTACATGGGACTCATTAACATAAATAGTGAAAAGTGGGTGTTACATTGTACAGTGGCATAATGTTCACCTCTCTCTGCCTACCCCTTCGGGGATAAACGGCGTGATGTTATGTTATGTTTTCAGATTCCTGCACGGAACAACTCCGTAAATTGTTGTTTCGGGTCTGGGTGCCATGTTTGTGAACTTAAATGTTTGTAAACGCACCCACGACAAATAAAAAAATCTGCGAGCAGGGCAACGTCTTAGAAAAATATAGAAATACGATATAGGTACAGTCAGCACAGCTATTTTGTTGCATATATATCGGTAAGAAAATATAGATTGATTCGGTCCAGGGAACCGTCTGACTGACTACTGAGCTATTATTACACAAATTATAAAATAATGTGACCCCAATAATTTTTTAGTGGGTATAATAATGATCTCGTTGAATAAAAAATTATGTTCTATTGAATTTCATGGTTTAATAAAACAGTTAAGCTACGAAGGGCCAACCCTTATATCCGTGATTCATTGTTTCTCAGTCCAGACAGTAAGGGTCGACCACGTACAATACGCTCCCTTTTTAAAAGCTTTTATTGTAGTCTACTCTTTGTGCGATACTGAATAAATAAAACCGTTGGACAACTTAATACTGGTCGGTCGATCAATGAATTTATTAACTCTTTATTTTTTTTTAATCAACCTCATCAAGGGTAACTTGGCAGTTGGTCCCAGCTGCTAACCGTGCTCCTAATCTTTGATTTTGTACCTATCTACTAGTCAATTTATGAAAAAATTATTGTCATTAGGTATATTTATCGAATAACGACTTTGGAAAGTCGATTCACATCGTTGAAGCAACGTATCTAAATTGTATCATTTGTTTTTCAATAATTAAAACGATGAAATCAAAAAATTTTGGACATGATTATGTAGGTACTTGTAGGTACCTTCTAAAAAGTTGAACGGTTCGCAAAACATACCATTCATTCACTCGTTCAACCAAAGCGCAAAGGTCAAATTCAATAAGTAAAGCTGCGGCTAGACATGCGGCACATTTCTTCATTCATATTATTGAATGAAATCTCGTTTCGTGTAGCTTTGAAATTTTCCATTTCTTGAAATGATAACTAGTAGCATTGTGGATACTTTTGCCAAACATCTAATAAGTCGTTTAAAATATTTTTCTATACGAAACAAGTGGGCCTGTACTCCTGAACTCCTTTCACCTGTGATCCAAGATTTTACTTTTACAGGTATTGTAAATTCGCGAGAGCACACCCTGACCTTGATTCATCTTGTAACACTACAGATGCAATCAAGTGATTTTATTTAATACTAGCTGTGCCCGCGACTTCGTTCGCGTAGAATAGTGACTATGGGCAGCGTTTTTTTTTTTAAATATATACTTATTTTTATTTTAGATTTGGATCATAATCACAGTCATTTTGGGTAGCTAATAAACCTACTTTACTGTAATGCTTCTCTATATACAATATTAGACGTATGGCCATCGGGGGTGAAAGCATACAGGCTGCTGGGATTGCTAACACGGGACAGAGCCACATACAATTGACCGTGCGAAAAACAGCTGATACTTAGATCTATACCCAAAACTTTTAGAGTCTGACCTTGAGCTTTATTAATTGTCATGGCGAAACATAGGCTCACTGGAAACTAAATTCGTTTAAAATTAAACGGAAATTTTTTTGGAATGAGAGGAATCTGAGGAATAAAACCACTATCACCTTTTCCGCACCCTGTTAAATATATATATATTTATAAGCCATTTCTGAGATTAGCGTGAACAGACAAACAGACAAACAGACAAAAAAAAAGTTAGTTACATTTTTGGGTTCGACATCGACATAACAATAGCCCCTGCTATTTTTTTTATTTTTATTTTCAATGTACAGACAGCACTTTTCTACAATTTTATTATATGTATAGATAGATAGATAGTGTTCGACGTGATTCTTTAATTTGACGTAACTTTTTTATTTATGAACCGATTGACATGAAACAAACACTAAAGCATAACTGAAGCATACCACAATATATTCGTGAAAACCGCATCCAACTCGGATAAGCCGTTTCTGAGATTAGCGTGAACAGACAAACAGACAAACAGACAAAAAAAAAGTTAGTTACATTTTTGGGTTCGACATCGACATAACAATAGCCCCTGCTATTTTTTTTATTTTTATTTTCAATGTACAGACAGCACTTTTCTACAATTTTATTATATGTATAGATGTATCGTTGAATGGGGCTTATCATGTTTTTGCTCACCAGATGGCGCTAGTGTGTAAATTGGACATTCGATATTTGACAGCTTCTGTGATTGGATAAAAATACTCTATCTACATTTGCGCTATATGAGCAAAAAACATTAGCCCCCATTAATACGCATTCTGGGTCACTATAGTAATTTGGGAACATCTAATAATTTAGAGTACCAAGTACATTTTATTTCTAATACAAATAGGTATAACAAATATGTATAATATTTATAAATAAACAAACACATTTAAAGACACGACTTTTTTTCTCCTTTGGACCATTAATGGGTAATTTAATTTTTGTAGACTGCCTCTTTAATCAAAATAGAGAATCAAAAAAGAAATAAATTATTATTATTTATAAAAATAATATTAACAAAACATTTATTTGAACAACAGGACAAGAGTAATATCCTTATATGTGATCGTGGCTTTATAAAATATTATATTCTCTGTGGTCGTTCGAAATCATTCAATCACTGCCTATATAAATCATGTGACTCGGTCTTGTTCAATTAATTGCCATATTTACGTTCACGGCGTCGTCGGCGAGCGTGAGACCGGTGTTCGCGCAATTTATACCTGTGGATTTTCCAAAACTTTTCATGTAAGTTGCCTACTTTTTGCCGTCTATTTGAGTAATTTTATGTCGTTAATGGCAGTATTTTCTTCTTATTAGAATCTTCCCTTGATTCCAATTAGGATTTTCATCAATCGCTTTTCATTTACAGTACCTACTCCTACCCGAAAGATATCAATATAATTTTACCCTACATTGTAAATGTAAATAAATTCTGTATCTTACTAGGTAATATTTATTTAATTTTTTATTACAGATTGGAGTTCAGGCGTCATTCCGTGCTTTTGCGAAGTTAACGAGATATGGACCGCCAAAGCAGGTAATTTTTGAAATTATTAAGTGCGCCTGTGCGGCCCTTGCGACTTCCGACGCGCGACGCGACTTTTTTTTGGTCCAATTTTCCTGTTGTGTTCAGCGAAGAAGTAAATCCTCATTATTGGCAATAGATAATGATGAATTTCAATAAAGAATCAAGAATTCACTAACGTGCGGCTGTAGGTAAGTTTTTCGCGAATATAACTCGGATAATTCGTTTTTGTATTGGGAAATTACTTTGATGGACCCTCCCCTGCCGACATTAAAATTGTTATCTAAAATGGAGTCGGACTCGTTCACCTAATTAAGCAAGAGATTAGCTCTGTAATATTTTTTTATAGTACCATTGAGTAGGTAGGTAGGCTGGTGCAAGTATAACTTATTTTAAAGTACCTAAATAATATTATTATTAACAGTGTAACTTAATGGCTGTAATGTTATATCTGTAAATTTTCGAAATAATTACTTGTTTTAAAAATAAAAGATAATCTGACTTTCTTTCATGTTTTTTGTGAAAGTAGTTTGATAGTCAGGAAATTCACGATCATAAGAGATTCCTATGAGCATCACAGTAAAATGAGATGAATAGGAATCGAGAGAGAGAGAGAGATGAATAACGACAAGTGGGTGGATCGATATTATTTAGGCGTCAGGAAATTCTTAGTAATAAATTTCCACCCCTCCTCTCGCCTCGCGATTTTTATTCGCAACAGGTGGCCTAATAAGGGTTATTATTGGAAAAATATAACCGTTTATACTCACTTCAAAGTTATTGAAACAAATAATCTACCTTTTGTGACGTTTCATGCAATTACTTTTGATGGAATACTTTTTTTTAAACTGTCAAACACCAAGCGGTCACCGGTGACCGCAACCTATTGTTCTATAATTGTGTCTATAATGACGGTACTCGACGAGCAAGTTACCTATTAACATTTTATCTTGTTTTACCGAAATCTCTTAACTTTGTGAATTTACCCTCGCATTGTTTTATTATGCTTTAAACTGTCAAACACCAAGCGGTCACCGGTGACCGCAACCTATTGTTCTATAATTGTGTCTATAATGACGGTACTCGACGAGCAAGTTACCTATTAACATTTTATCTTGTTTTACCGAAATCTCTTAACTTTGTGAATTTACCCTCGCATTGTTTTATTATGCTTTAAACTGTTAAACACCAAGCGGTCACCGGTGACCGTGACCTATTGTTGTATAATTGTGTCTATAATGACGGTACTCGACGAGTTAATGTACTTTTAATATCTGATAATCATGCATTTGCATCTATCACAGTTGCTGAGCAAACTAACATTTTATCTTTACTTTTAATCACTATGTAATTCAAAATATTTTCTATTTATTGTTTATAAACACATGCATAATGCAAATTATTAAGAATTAATCAACTGTAATTATTAAGAAATAAATTTCTTTTTTATTGGGATCAGAGTCCA